AACCGCATACAATCCAAGCGGAAAGGATATACTGGTCTTGCGATGATCCTTGATCCAGAATTATCCTGATGAGTTTCCCTATGAGTCCGTTGGAGTTTGCTGAAGGGTGGCCATGAACTTAATGAGCAATTTGAGGCAACGTGAGGAGACCAACCATCCGAATCCAGCGATGGGGTGCATCCTGCTCTGGCGGGCAACAGCTTCCTTTGGGGGGCTAGCAACATTTCTGCGTTAGGCGCTCGCTTGGATGTTCTTTACTTCCCGACCTCTGGTGAGATGTTGATGGTTCCAAGTGAGTTCCCCGAGACACACTGCACAACTAGGCTTTTGACCAACCAGGGCAAGACACCCAAAAGGACAACCATATTCCAAGGCCCCCTCCCGCGAGTGGGCGCGGGATGGCCCGGAGACGGACGCCCTGAAGGCGGAGGGACGGGCGAATTTCGCTTTTCTCTTCCCAGCTGCATGGCTCGGGAAGCGATCGCAAACAGCACTCTGAAGGCTCCGAGCAGATGCATGGCCAAAGCCAAGGTAGGACAATTCGCTTGATATCCTTTTCTCTCTTGTCCCTCTAGGCAACAGGGCAAAAGCTCCGGCAACCTTTCCACCTTTTTGGTGCAGCGAGACTAGCTTTCGCCAGTTTGACCATGGCTTCCCTACGGTTGGCCTAGAGTCCATGGCTTGCGATTCATGTGAACTGGGCTCTTCATTCTCATGGGTTGGACGATCCAAGGAATCACTTAGAGTTCAGCGGTTTTTTTCCTTCAAGGGTAGAGGGCGATAGCAAGCCTGGCCTCTTTGCGTGAGCTTTCGGGTCTTCGAGTCTACGGATATGCCACTGTTGTGGGCAGTCCAAATGGTTTCTGCACTTGCTTCCAATGGGCCGGGTTTGGAGTGGCAAACCCCCTGGCCCATGAATCGAATGCGTTCGACTTGTGTTTGCATTGTGTATTGTCCAGAGAGACGCTTCCAACATGTGTGGGTGAAAGATTTCCTGGCCCCGGAGAAACATGGTTGGATCCTCCCCACTCGCTCTCAATGACAGCCTGGGGCAGACCGCCCGAAACTTTAAATCATGGAATCAGGTCACCAGGTCTTGGCTCCTTTTTGGACCTTAGGGCCACATCAGCTGGCCTGGTTTGACATGGGCAGATTTGTCAGGTCATGATAGGTGGCTTGTTGGCCTAACATGGACATTTGTGGCGACGTTTCTGGTGTTTCGAGTCGCTTCAACAGAACTCGGGGGCAAATTGCAACGGAATAGCCCAGTCAAGTTGATTGGCCGCAGGAACAACCAGTAACGCAGCAAGAGCACGGCCATTTACCTGCTCGCCAAAGCCAGGTCACGCGTCAAAAAGCGCCCGCGTGCGCGTGCCGAGCCATCTCCGAGCCGCAGGCGTCCAAGGTGGAGCTCGCCGAGCTCCTGGCGGAGGCGCGGGAGGTTTGGTGCCAGGCGGAGAGGCGGTTTTGGCAAGATTGACTGAAGCTCGACTGCTATTGGGTTGGATCTTTAGACTTGAACTTTTTTGGTTGAAATCAAGGGGATTTCCACTAAACCCCCCAAAAGTGAAACTTTTTGCAGGGGGGTCAACACCAAGAAAGCTGCGAGCACTGAACGAGCTGTTTCAGATGTGCCGAACATCCTGGAATTGGAATTGGAAGGTCGTGCAACAGCAGCACTGCTGTCGAGGGCCAGTTGCGCAAGCCGTGCGTGTTCTCAGGTGGACGAGGCGAGACTGCACCGGAGGAAGGAGTTGAAAGCTCTGCAGCAGGCGACGTTCATTTGAGAGAGAAGTTCGGTCGGGGAAGCATTGATCCGCCGGTCCACACGGCTCAGAAACAAGTAGGGGTAAACTTTTGTGTTGAAGTGCCCGTTCTTAAACTTTGTAACGCGAGGGTCTTAAAACCAATGGAAGCAAGAAGCATCCTTGACATTGAGGTATTCCGAATTGAGCTCATGCCCCGTAGGTCTTGACCGTCCGGAAGTTCGTCCGACTTTTTTTTTTTCAAGATGTACATCAGCCGTTTCCCACGCAGCTCTAAGTCAATCAGCCTGCAACATCCACACCAAGGGCCGGCTAGAGCGACGCCTAGAGCTGGAGCTAAGAAGACCTTCGGGCGACTTGGGATGCGACTCTCTCAATCAGGGAGGTCATCGAGAACTTTTGCACTTGGAGTTCTAGCTGATCGCAGGGAAAGCTTTGTCCCCCGTTTGACCAGGGTTGCCTGAAGCACGGTTTACTCTGACATTTGTCAGAGTGGGTGACGAGCCTGCATCCTTCATGGTTGCATGACACAGGCTATGTTTCTGCAATTTCATGTCATCATGTAGCTAGATAGATGCACCTCCCAAACAAAAAACAAGTAAATACAATAAGTAGATGAATCCGAATGACATTGTTACAGGGAACACCACGAAAGCTGCCCACAGGACAAGCTGGAGTCTAAAATATAAGACATCAGGTTGTTCAGCAGCACCACTAGTGGGGTTGTTCCTGTGAATGGCAGACTGCCCTGGGCGCATGTTTTCACTGCGCCTTGTGTCAAAGCGGCTGCGTCGTGTTTGCAACCTTCTATGTACTGTTCCAAAAAACGGGCGATCCATGCCCATGTGTTTGTTGCCCTTTCATCTGCACTCCTCCTTGTTGCGTGGGGAGTGCCATGCAACAACCAAAAACCAGCGGTCTATTGCCGCTTCCTCCGCTCAAGCCGCTCATGCGAGTCCCCGTGGCCACATGCCCTCGTTCTGGACCCGCTCAAAGTTCTCCGTTGTCACTTGCCCCTGACAAAACCGGCACGGTGTCAGCGGAAGCTGTGGCTCTCGTCCGATCTCGGGGCATCGGTGATTGGCATGCAAGAAGCCATCCTGACCTCGCCACGATCTCGCTCCTCGACGCCGTTGACCTTCTCCAAGCCAGCAGTTCGGACAGGGCAGCACCGCCCGCAAGCCCCTGGCTGTGGCATTCCTCAGCCCGAAGCAATTGCGACGCCAATGCACCTTATCTCCCATCGCCGTGATGTGGTAGATTTCCGTTGCCTCCGGCTCCGGTTGCAGCTCTCGCCACGTTCACCACCTCCACGTCGCCTTCTCAATGTTCTTGCCGTTGACGGATCCCCGCTGGTAGAGCTCGAAGACCTGGCCACCGAAGTGCTCGACGCTCTTGGCACATCGATCACCTCCTCATCGTCATCAGTTTGGGTGCCCTGCTCCGCGCTCATCACTCTGAGTTGCCGTATCTTTCCACAGAAAGCCGACGCCGCTTCACTCATCAAGCGATACACCACAATCGCAACCACTGCGATCAGCAGTACCACCACCGAAAGATCCATTCTTTCCTCCTCCTGTTGTTGACCTTCTCCTTGGGCCCTGCATCCGGCCACCATAATGAGGATCACCAGCAACTTGATCCATTTCTCCTTGCCACCTTGCACCACTGTCTTGTTCAATCTGACAGCTTCGCTCTCTTCTCGCATAGCCTTGAGGTCCCAGAGGCCACACAACTCCTTGATCCTCGCCGGGCCCAAGGGCTTGGTGCCAAGGTCTGCCAACATCTGCTGTCCCGGGCAATGGCGTATCTCCCAATCTCCGGCCCTAATCCTCCACCTCAAATGGAACGACCGAAGACGGAGATGTCTCGTCCTCCACGAACCCGTGACATCCGTTGCTATCGCCACCGCTGCCGCGTTGTCCGACAGCAGCATTTTCTTGAAGTTATCCATCCCCAAGGTGTCCGTGATCAGTGCCTCCACGCTGTCCCCGAGGATCACACTGTCAATTGCTTCGATCAGCTCGCTTTCGGCTGTCGACAGTGCTGGAAACGCCTGTTTCCCGGCTTTCCACGCGATGACCGTACCATTCCACGCCACCAAGGAACATCCTTGACTCCTTTCTCCCAATGGCGCGAACGACGCATTTGCGTAGGCCTGCAATCCAGCTGCTCCATGTCCAGACCAATGTCGTCCAGTGTCCCCGGACACCCACAGTCCCCAGTCCTTCGTTTCCTTCAGGTAACCCAGAACATAGCCCGCAGCCTTGATCGTCCACTTGGGATTCTTGGACGTCATGCTGCACATGCGGCTCATGCTGTAGAGGAGGTCTGGCCGTGTTCTCGTCATCAGCCACAAAATCTCCCCCGTCACCTTCTGAGCCTTCGTGAGGTCCATGGCCGTGAAGTTGCCCGGGTCCTGATCCGCCTCGTCTGCCAATTTCCTGGACATTGGCGTCTTGGATCTCACCAACTCATCCTTATGTCTTTTCAGCAGCTCCTCCACGTAGTCGCTCTGATGCAGGAAGATGCCGCCCTCCTTCTTCATCAGATTCATTCCCAAAAACCGAATTTGGCGATCCTCCGTCAGGACGTCTGGCTGGCTCGTCTCCCACCTTTCCGAGATCACGGCCTCAAACCTTTTTCGCACCGACTCCTCCGTTGCCGTGAGGACGTCGTCCACGTATATGGACACCAAACCGGCCAACACCTCCGTTCCATCACGAACCTCCAAAATCCGCCACAGATTCTGCTCCGCAGCGCACTGCTCCAGTTTGTAGTAGGCGCCGTTCACCTCCCAAGTCAGCTTCGCGAGCTCGGCATCCCGGTGGTCCGACCATCTCCTCGGGCTCTGCCGAAGCCCATACATGGCCTTGTCGATCAGCCACAGCTCACCCGGCTCCGCGTAGCCCAATCTGACCATGATAGTTGGCGGTCTCATCGCCACCAAATTCTCCGGCTCCCTCTCCTCGTGCAGATCTGCATTGAGGAACGCAGACTTGATGTCCAGCGCCGACATTGTCCATTTCCTTTCCATGGCCACCTTGACCTGCAGGCGGATTGCCGTTATGTCCGTTCCCCCCGCAAAGGTGTCGCCTTCCGCCTACGTGTCCCGCTCCACATGGTTCCCGCAGACCACCAATCTGGTCTTCCGTCTCGAACTCCCGGCTTTCACACTGAAGATCGCCTTGGCAGGCACCACTGACAGTTTACTGCCTTTTTCCTTGATGAGCTTCTCGGCCTCCCTGGGTGGCACTCTCCGAAGCGCCTGCTTCTCCGTCATCAGCGAATCCAGCTCGGTCTTGATCGAGGCCGCCCAACCTTCCTTGTCCGAGATCACCTCGTTCGGGGACACCATCTTTGTGTGCAGTATCTTCTCCGCCTCCGTCTGATCCGGAACCGTCTGCTTCAGGCTCTCCTCCTCCTCACGCAGTTTCCGCACCATCCGGAAGGTCATCTCTGCTGTTTCCTTCTCATCTTCCAACATCCTCTCTTCTTCTTCCACAATGATGTGGCGAAGCAGCCGAATCCTTTCCGCCACCTTGTCACCTCCACCATCGTCCATTCGAGCTGGGTCGCTCGTCTTCACCCTCATTCTCCTTCTCACACGAAGGGCCTCGTCAAAGAGAGCATCCCCTTCCCGGTTCTCCTCTTCTTCATCCACATCTGCTCCCAGTGCGTCCGGAACCTCCCCTTCTCGCAATCCGGAGAGCACCTTCGACACCGCGACCACCTTCTGGTCTGCGTTCAGCAGCACCGCATGTCCATGCGTGATGTCGTAGAGCGGCGCGAGATATTTGCCCCTCTGGTTCTTGGCCTCGAAGGATTTCTGCTTCCAAGCCCTCTTAGGGACCACCACGTCCTCACCGAACTGATACTTCGGCTTGTGGCCCTTCAGATCATAGCCGAAGCGCACCTCCGAAACGTAGCGAGCAATGCAAGGCCACCAAACGGGATCCCACTTCGTCGCGATGAGCACCCGTCTCATCATCGACTTCACCACTCCCACCGCTGCTTCAGCTCGACCGTTCTCCTGCATTTGATCCGGAGTCCTGGTGGACTTCCTGATGTCTCTCAGCCGGCACCAACTTGCCAGCTCCTTGCTCATGAACTCACCCCCTTGTCCGAGTGCAATCTCAGCACCAAGAAGCCTTCCCTCCTCAATCTGATGTAGACCTCCTGTATCGCCGCCAAGACCTCCTTCCGATCCTTGGATCTGAGCGGGACCGTCATGTAGAGCGTCTTCAACGGGTGAGGCTCCTTCTGGGGTTCCGGAAGGATCGGCTGCTCTTGCTCCTCAGCTGCTCCTCCAACCTCGAAGCCCTCTTCCGCCGCCTCCTCTCCGGGTTCCTCCTCCGGTAGTAGACCTTCTTCAAGCCCGCCACCTTCTTCTTCACCTCCAGGCTCATCACCAGGAAGCTCTTCTCCTTCTGATGTGTCTATCTGTGGCCATGTGTATGCCGCCACCAACAAGTACCTCTTGTCCTGAACCCCGTCCACATCGGTGCCCATAATGAACGGGCCGCTGAGGTCCACCGACAACACGTTCCCAGCCGGGTGTCGTACACGCCTATGTGGGCGGTCCCGTGCCGAGGCCTCCTGACAGACCCGGCAGTCCCGCCGAAAGGGCAGGTGGCCCAGCTTCACATGCTCTTCCCACGAAAGAGACTTCACCTTCACTTTCGACTGGCCATCCACTTCCTTCCGAAGGCATCTTGCCAGCTCTCTCATCATCCCCGGGGCCCACCTAGCCAACGCCTTCGACGAGCTGAGCTTCTCCTCATCCGTCATCTCCCACCTCGGCTTCTCGACCTCCCGATCATGACGTAGAGCTTGTCCCAGATGTAGCCCACAGACACCCCTTTCGTAGGCTTTACCGCACGTCCACCCCAGTCTCCCTGCATGAAGGTGACCTCCTTCAAGTTGTGGAGCTTCTCAAGGGTCTTCCACTCCGGTGTTCTCCACCACGAAGCGCATCTCGGCTCTCCCTTAGGCTCCGCCGGCTGCTCCATGAAGAACTTCACACCACCCCCTTCATTCTCTCTCGCCTTCGCCGTGATGTCTGCCAGAAGATAGATCAGGATGAAGCGGAACATCAGCACATCGTCTTCTCTGACGATTGCCTTCTCTCCCTTGTCCATCTCCGGCAGGCCCCATCGATGCTCCATCGTCCTCACCGGGCGTGGCTTAGCCCTGTTCAGCAGCGGATAGAATCGTAGCACCGATCTCGTCCTGCAATTCGGCCCGCCCACCACGGCCTTAATCCGGTCGTCCAGCGCCAACCGGACCAACCCGCTCATGAGCTCGTTGTTCATGAGGTCATGAGCCTCGTCTCGGAGACTGTCATACTCCAAGATGTCTCGCGGATCTCCACCTTGCTCCTTGTATGCCCTCGAAAGGTCGAACCCCTCCTCCGGGCCCGCGAACAAGTGCACCACCGCTCCTCCCTTTTTCTCAAGCCTTCTTCTTCGGCTCCGATTAAGCCCCAGCGGTTTCCAATCCTCCGCCGGTTCCACTATCAGCTCTCGCTTGATCGCCTCCGGCACTTCGTCGAACACCGGATGCATTTCCACGACTTTCTTCACGAAGTCCACCTCCTCCCGCCTTGACAGCGATCGGATCTTATGGCGATTTGCACCCTCCAGCTCCTGGATCAGACTGAGTGCCAATGCCCTTGGCACCTCCGGGCACCCTTGACTCATCACCACCGGTAGTTGTCCTCGTCCAGGATGTAGGATAGTGCACGCTTTCCCGCTCCATTTGACCTTGCAGTTCAGGTCCTTCGTGAGCATGCCCATGGGAATGATCGGCTGCGTTCTCTTGTCCTCCGCAACGAGCGTGCCTCCCGGGGTTACCCTCAAGCTGTAGGTTTCCCCGGCTGCCAGCTCCACCGTCCGTTCCTCATAGCTTTCGACATCCTCGCCCTCTTCCACGGCCCTGAGTGGGTTCGTTGCTCCCGAGTCCACCAGCCCGCGAACACCGGCTGTTTCCATCTTGGACAACTTTATCTGGCGAACCCTCATCCTTTCTCTCATGCCGTCCAGCTGCTTCTGAAGGTCCAGCAACTTCTTCTCTTCATCTTCTTGTGCGCCCTTTCCCGGCGCCCTGACGTTGAGGCTCCTGAGCATCTTCGTTGCCTCCTGGAGCACATCTTTCATCGCCTCATTGTCTTTTTCACTGGATGCCGAACTCGCCGTTCCCGGAGAGTCCTCATGCCCTGTTGCTGATGAGGTCGTGCCCTCGGAGTTGATTCCTTCTGGGCTTCCACACTGACCTCCTTCTTGTCCCCTCCTTCGGCATTGACCTTTGCCGCCTTCGGCTTTCGGTCCGGGCTAGCCTTCACAGCGACAGGACAGTCCTTTCGCAGGTGCTCACTCGCCCCACAAGACCAACACCTCATCTTCTCATCCTTTTGGTCGTGGCTCCATCTGCACCCACGCCCTCGTCTGCAGCCCTTTTCCGAAAGGAAGAACTTGCAGGGCCGGATGTCCTCTCCAGCCTTCTTCATTTCGTTCTTGCCGTCCACAGTGTCCACCTTCTTGACCTTGGCGTCCACCATCTGAGTCTTTGTCGCCGGCGTCTTGACCTCCTTCTCCAAATGAGCGATGGCCTCCACCTCCGACAACGCATGCTCCGCGTACTTCTCCACTGCTTCGTGCGATGGGATGGAATCCAGCTGTAGCGCATTCCTCGCCAAGGCCATTCTAAAGGCGAGTTCCGGCTGCAATTCCAGCACCTTCTTGATCATCTTGTTGAGGGACCGCGCCAACACCGTCGGATCCGGGATTGTAACCCCCAACTCCTGCGCCCGTTGCTTCCACCTCATCCACTTTCTCAGACCAACCAGCAAGGACGCCAGAGAGTCCACTTCCGGGGGATTCTCCAAGTTCTGCAAAATCACCCCCTTCTCCACCAGACCTCCCGGCTGATAGCTAGCCATGAGCTTGCAGAGGATGGCGTAGCACGTCATAGACTTCGTCGCCACCATCTCTTCCTTGGCTCCTTCTGGAAGAGCTCGTAGGATCAGTCCCACAGCCCTCCGTTCCAACCTTCTCCACCGGGCTTCTTGAAGTTCCGGAGGATCCTTCGGCTGCAAGCGAAGCCTCTCCAGCGGCGGCGTGGTTTGGTACTTCGCGTACCATACCCTTGCCGATTCCACCACCTTGTGCCACCACTGATGCGATGACTCGCTGAGATCCGCCATGATGGGTTCCAGGACGCAAATCCAATCTCCCAGATCGATCGGCGCGCTCTCCGGCCGGTACTCCACCAGCTTCGGCAGCTCCATAGCGCCACTCTTCACCAGCTCACTGTGATCCTCGACCCCATCTGGCTTCTTCTGCTGGTTGAGCATCTGCTGTTGCATTATCTGCATCCCTTGGACGATCTTCAGCATGATGTCCAGCGATTGCCCCTTTTCCCCACCAGGCTCATCTTCCCTCATCTCAGAAGACTCCTCTTCCTGATCAGCAGGTTCTCCTGTTGCTCCATGGCCTTCTGGGGTTCCATGCTCCTCAGGGGTTGCAAACCTATCGCTCTGATCTCCTCCTCGTACAGCTCCTTGTTCAGGCGGTTGCCACTTCAGCGGCATATCTGCTACCTTATTCACGCAGTGCACCACCTCCTTCTGCAGCCTCCGGTTATCGGCCATCAACTGCACCATGTAGTAGCGCATCTCCTGCATTGGATCAGGCCATTGAGCAAATCGAGGGCCTCCATCAAGTCCTCCAGGTCCAGGTAGAGCTGGCTGTGGGGGCCTTTGTCCTTGCCATTGAGCAGGCCGAGCGCCTTCGGCATGTCCCCCTGGTACCGGTAGAGCAAGTTGTTGTGCTGCCAGCACCAACTCCTTCTTCTCCAACATGTCCTCGTTGGACCTCTCGATGTAGGTCTCAAACCCCTCTCTGCTCCCTCCAGCTCCAGTCGAATGGATCAGCGGCGCCTCTTCCGTCCACTCATCGAGCCGTTTCATCTGCTCGGGCGTGAACAGCGCTGCTGGTACTGGCTCAAGTGCCAGCGGCTCCCCCTGCGGCCCTCCAGGCCATTGGGTCGAAGCTCCTGCCTCCACCACTCCGTCCGGCCTGGCGACCAGGGTCTCCATCACCTCTTCCACCACCGGGCCAGGTCCGTTGCTGCTCGACCCCTTGCCCGCGGCCTCATTGGCTTCCAGCGTTCTTATCCTCCTGGATCTCCCCGATCCAGTGGCCATAGCTGCGTGGTCGCAGTCACCTAACGTGACTTGGGCTCATAACCTGTGAATGGCAGACTGCCCTGGGCGCATGTTTTCACTGCGCCTTGTGTCAAAGCGGCTGCGTCGTGTTTGCAACCTTCTATGTACTGTTCCAAAAAACGGGCGATCCATGCCCATGTGTTTGTTGCCCTTTCATCTGCAGTTCCAACATGTTATTCCCAATTTGGGAGCTCAGTGCTTATTCAACACTCCTTGACCACTGCCTTGTTCACCTCAAGCACGAGCTGCTCGGAGTGCTCTCCGGAGTGCTCTTTGGAGTGGTCCCTGCTCTCCCTTGGCTTTTTGCCGGTGCTTTGTATCTGCCCTTAAAACAAACCATAGCTCCACCGCCTCCGCAGTTTCCTATCCCGCCTATTTTGATGCCCAAAACGCTCAGTCTTGAAGTCGCTCCTGCCGATGCATCTATGGCTTCTCTCCACCTCTGACTCCATGTTGCAGTATTGGCACCTTTGCGCCCCTCAGCATCTTTGCATCTTTTGCTCACTTCACCCACCCACATCCAAACAAACGTCTTCCCCGTTTCTCACTTCACCCACATCCGGACAGGCGTCTTTTATCGAGGTTTGGAAGGCGTGCCTAATCCCAAAGTCGAGGTATCGTCGTTCCGCACCTCCGATGTTCCTCCGAACTTCAGGCGGTGGAGGCCACCGAGGTGGAGAACCAATGGCTGCGCCGGGGAGGCGCGGAGCTCCGATCCGGCGCAAGCGGCGCGAGCAGCGCGATGGGAACACGGGGGATGGACCGAAAGGTTAGATCCCCCAAAACCTGAGGGAAAGGCGGGGTTTCGGGGCTTTGGAACTCTTGAGAGCGCGTCGGCAGAATGTGTCTGACCTTGCTGGAGGCTTGCTTTGCAATGGAGCCTTGGTATTTTTACAATCGGCTGCAGGCATAATTCAAGTGCATCCTGCAATTTTCAGAAATTGGAAGGGAACATTCCGGCCATGCAGGAAGGGAATTAGCTTTGGCTGAAGGGGTTTGCAGGCATAAGCCATTTTTACATAAACATACTTAAGCATATTTCCACAAAAAACCGGGCAACCATTGTGAACCTCTGGGAAAGCCACACATGAACAGATGAGCTAAGAGGGATGCTGACGTTTGCACCTTTTGCATGAGCTGTTTGAATTTTGGACCTGGAGGGTTGCGTCACCTAAACCAATCGGAGACCAGGCCACGACTGCTACGAGGCACGGGTGAGGGCTTCGGCATGGGCCGCTTCGGCACGGAAGGCGGAACAGTGTGGGTTTCCTGGCATGTTTCGGTCGGCTCAGTTTGGGACATGACGGTTTTTCTCAACGAAGTTTTTAAAAGCACTATGTGGGCAAGATAGATGTCCTAACTGCGCTTTGAACAAGCATTTGTTTCCGTTTTGGGGATGAACACTAGGGAGTGTGTTTGTGTGGTGGGCAGCTTAGGAGACATAATGGCCTGAAAGCGGCTTTGTCAGGAAACTGCACTTCAAAAGCCCTTGGTTGCTCGACAGATTGAATTCCAATATTTGATTCCAACAAACACAATTCTCCATCAGAATCCTGGAATTCAATTCTATGTAGTTCATTCCTGGTCAATCCTCGATTCCAAAAAGATCTAAGTTTTCCAGATGCTCCAGAATCTGGCCACATTTGCATGGCAAACAGTTGACCATGGCAGCACAGAGGCTGCCTATTTTTTCAGAAAACCTTTTCTGCGACTCCATCCCCCGGCCTGCCGCGCTTGTGTTTGGCCGACATCTCCCTCACGCACATGTCTATGAAGTGGACTCTCCCTTCTTGCCATGATTTTTCGCCGCGTCGTCCCGACTGTCCTTACAGAAGCCATGCGACTGGAAGTCCCACTAGCAAGCGTTCTCAAAGACATGAACATACTTTACAGCTCAGTCAAACGGGCCACCCAATGAAAGGTGACAGGAGCTTCCCAAATGGCCAAGCCTCTTGCCGGCTACCATTTCTCTTTCGACGGAGTCCTCCCAAGAAAACCCCAAGGATCAGAATCAATGGGCTGAATCCCACTGACTCCCCACCTCAGGCGCCGCCCTCCTTTGGCGCCTCACTCAAGAAGCTCTTCTCCGTGGCCGGGCAGCTCAAGCCACCAGTTTTGGGAGGGGAGTTTCGCGTCTGCAGAAACCGTAGGGTTTCACCATCTTGGCAAAGAAAGTTCGCAGGTTTTGGTGGCCGCAGGCCTTCAGGGGATCTTGCTATGCTTGTTCACGCATCGGCCATTGCCAGGTATTCACAACGATTGGGCTGCGAAATCTTTCTGGAAAGGAGGGATCTCCAGACACCTGCGTGCAAAACGAGGGGACCCCGATTCCCAAAATGGGTGGTTTGCTGTTGGCTTCCTCAAACCAAGAGGGCCCTCCCCCCTTCTCCCCCCAACAGATGTTGCGGGATCGTCGGAAGGCAACGCCGCCAGGCAACGCCGCCAGGCAACTCGCCAGGCAACCGCGAAAAGAATCCGGAATCGAGCCAGACGATTTGAGTAATGACACGGGTTTGTCACAAGATGTGTTGATATTGGCGGATTTTTCATGGGAAGGCATGGTTTTCGCGAAGTGCTATCAATGAGAAAGTCCAGGTACTGATTTGCTGCCTTCATTGATTCGAGCCAGTGGCCATAGCTGAAAAGCAATTGTCAGTGTTGTAGCAAAGGATTGGCCCGTACTTTGCACGATCTAGGCCAGCGTTTGCAAATTTTCATCAGCAAGAACACCAGTGGTTTGATTTTTAGCAATCTTCTGACTTTCATGATTTGGATTCAAGGTTTGCAATCTTTCCTAACAGGTCTCCGAATTTCGTGCTGCGTTCAAGCTTGCCCGAGGCCTTGGGCAAGCGGAATTCTTCCGCAGCAACTCCCACCGGCACCTGACAAAAAAATAAACCCGCGGGCAGGGCGGAGGGGGGGGGGGGATCGGCGGGGGGATCGGCGGGGTCCACCCCCCTGCTGCCAAGGAAAGGGCTCGCCCGAAGCATTCAGTGGTTCTTAGCCACATTTTAGAAGCTGATTTGGAAACTTTGCCGCTATCATGCGAGTTGATGGGCATAAGATCCTTGGCGTCGCTTGCTTTCAAGGCTTGGATCTTCAAGAGTGGATGGGTAGTCGCGATGATCTCGTAGTTGCTCTACGCGACTCAAACAGCATTGAAGCGGAGATGTCATTCTCGTTGTGTTTGTTCATTCCAGTGGTTTCCATGCCAAAGAATCACTTTGGGAGGCTTTGGCGAATCCATCTGCAAGGCCACTTGGGTTTGTGAAGCCACAGGGAAGCTTGGTAGCCGGAAGCATGAGGCCTTCAGGGCAGAACGCATCGCTCGCCGTGGCTGGTGCAATGCAAAGGTCATGTGGGATCCAGGCCTCTCCCAAATCTGCCTTTGCTTTGTTTCGTGGCCCTCCAGTTTCACGAAACTCCAACGTGGGCTAAAACCCATGCTTTCAAGACCCACATTCCTCCATTCGATTTCTCAGGACTCAACAAGCTGACCTATGGATCCATGTGCCCATCGCCCTCCGGATGTTTCCGCCCGCAGCCCTTTGGTTCAACAGTCTAGCTGTCAGTCCAACGGCAGGAGGGATGCGCATCGAGTCTGCCGGGTGTCAAACCTTTCCTGTGAAGGTGCGGGGATGGGATCGGGGAGAGCAGCTTAGATCGGGTTTCGGGCTTGAACAGGACTTTCCCTTCAGGCGATTTGAGCATCAAGTCGTCTCGACTGCTTTGGCTGGCTCCGGCGCAAGTGGAGCTTCCTCCAAACCCGGCTCGCCCAAAGTGATGCTCAGGGGCCGTGCTGATACCCATACGTTGACCGACTTGCTGAAACACTTGCTAAACAAGAGCAACGCAAATGGCTGTCCTGGCAAGCTCGCCCGCAATTTTGCAATGCAATTTCCGGAACATGGCATGTCCATTTGATCCTCCGGTAAAAAAACGCGTAAGACAAAAGCGCCAGGTTCGCCTGCCATTTGCAGAGGTGCTTTTGGCTGGAACAGATCCGAACCTCGGGCTTTCCACTTGGAACCTTCAGGGGTCCCGGGCCTGGGCCGACGGGTCGCTTTCCCCGCGCTAGGTGCTGTTGGGCCGCCTGGAAGCTGCGGGCGCGGCCCCGTGGAGCAGTTTCCTGCCGGACCACTTGCGGCCCAAGGGCGTCAGCGCGGAGATCTTCAAGGAGCGCGCGCGATCGGCGGGGGGGGGGGCGCCACAGAGGTGGTCCAAATGGTTTGGGGGGTGTTTCCCAGGCACCCAGAAACGGTTTCAAGCAGGCACCAGTTCGGATTGGTGAGGTTGGGAGTGGGGATGTCCAAGCCTCAGGTTTGGAGGCAGGGAGGTGTCCAAACCGCGGTTACCTGAGGTTGGGAGATTCACAGCTGGCAAGCGATCGCAAACACAGGACGCTTGCCCTCAGGAAGCCCTTAACGAGCTTGATGTGTTGGGTGCAGACACTCCCAGGAGAAGAAGCTCGTGGCCAAGGCCGGAGTAACTAGCGCGAGAGGGTGCTGCTGTTTTAGGAAGGGGGGAACGGAAAGCCGGGAGAATTGCCATGGCTGGTGCATATGTGAGGTTCGATTTGTGGCCGTCAGGAGGAAGCGGCAGGTTGGGACGTATTTGAGCCATGAGTGCCTGAGGACTGTGTTGCTGACGTGCGGCATTTTCGTCAAGTCGTGTCTTGTATCCATGGCAGGAAGTGGTGCTGGAAGGCGCAAGCGAACTAGTCGGAGTATGTTCGGATTAATCCAGTCAAAGAAAAGGGCCTCCGGTCGAATATGTGACATGGGAAGTTAATTCCTTCTGGGGAATGTTTGGGAGCGCTGTTCGGAGCAATCTCAGACTTTCTTTTGCAGCTGGTGAAGCTTTCAGCGCCGCTTTCCTCGAACATGGCCCACTTCCTCCGGTCGCTCCTTGAGTCAGAATCGTCAGTGCCGTCCGCTGTCACCTGCGAAGTGGTCACGGTGCTGCAAAATGCTACAAACACTTGCCCTCGGTTGGTAACCCAACCACAAGCCACAGTTGCTGTCTCGCGCAACATGTCAAGAATTGGCAAGGAAAAGCACATGTCCCTCATGTTGGGCTCCTTTCGTGAAGCTGTCCAAGACAAGGAAAAGGGTGAGATGGTTTGGAAAGATCCATTCATAGAAGACTCGCAAACCATATCGTGCACGCTATCGCAATTTTCAGAGCGGGGGGCATGTCCAGGGTCTGAGGAGACATGACTTTCTTCACGGCTTTGGTAGTCAACACCCCAGCGCTTTCGGCTGCCCAAGGTGAAGCCCAAAGCCGACTACACACCGGTTGGCATTTCCGTGGTCGGCCGTGTGTGGGAGTACTCGCAGGACTCCAGCGGGGGCAAGGCAATAAGAGGCCAAATGCGTGATTATGCATTGTTCATGTCATAGGCTAAGAGCAACGCATGCAATTTGCAACCATGCATACTTGTTAGCATTTTTCCGTGTAATTGTTCTAGCTTGCCGCCTTTTGATGTGTAGAGTTGCTTCCACACATGTCCAGCCAGATTCTGGTTGAGATCGGGACTCGACTCCGCTTCGTTCAGATTGCTCGACGGTGCTTTTGTTTCGCTGAGAGGCACTGCGTAAAGGACACCTGCCGCAACTCCAATCAAATTTGACTTCAACGGGATGCGCCCGTCAGGCTGGAACAGGGCCCCATGGCATTTTCTTTTCAGGACTCCGTGGGCTGCCGGGAGGTTCAGGATGCCATGGACAAGTGTGACGAAGCTACGCTGGTGCGGATGGCGACAGAGCTAAAGGATCACGCCCCTCAGCAAAAGGAGAGGGAGGCGTCCGTTTTGGGGGGAGCAACAACAGCACAGGGATCTCCTGACCTTGTAGCTCCCGAAGCGCCAGCTGGGCCGTAGATGGGAGTAAGCTGGACCCGTGCTCCCGCTTGGCTTGTACCATGCAGGTGGCCACGTCTTAACGCATGCAATGGATTGCCCGTTCGGCATGGTCAAATTTGCTTGTTTTGCTACAACATGACCCTGAGCCACACAAGAAGCCTTGGATTTGGCACGCACCGATAAACAGCATGGCGCATACAAGTGTTCAAAACATGTTGCTCTTGGCATATTGTTCATAGGCCTTTTTGAGAATGAGGTGATCAAAATTTGACCTGACACAGGTCAACTTGATCCAAGACTCGCAAGGGTTCCGTTTGGACATTCGCTTCCAATCCGAGCCTGTTGCAAAGAAAGACGACTCCAGGTCAGATGGTGCGGGGCTTCCTTCATCAAGCGCAAGTTGTTGCGTGCACAGCTGTTGGTCCGTAGCATGTGGTCAATTCGCACAAATGCTAATGGTTTCTCTCCCCTCTATCATTGGCTGCCAAGGTCCCGCCTTTGAGGCGGCCCCAGTGTTACTCTACGCATTCGGTTGCAGTTCGGAAAGCGAGCGCTGGTCAGAGGGCTGAGGCCCCAGACCCCAGGACTCCTGTGAGGCTTTCCATCTGTGGGAGTCACGCCGCCAAGATGCTCCTTAGAGATTTTAAGCATGAATCCGTTGGACATTGTCAAGCTTTAAGCTTTGGGGTGTTTAGTTGCGCTGCCCTTAAAGGGGGCGGGACCTAAAAGGGTCACTATGTTCCCTTCACATTCATAGAATTCTGAACGCAACCACAACCAGTAGTGGGTCTTGACAGTCATAGGCACACGTTTGTACAGTTTCTCTTCAGATGTTGGTAAGCCCATGGCACTGCGCATTTACAAGACGTTTTGAGCGCACTAGCTCAAATGAACCGATTGCAACTGCTGTCAATGTCCTCGGCTGGAGGTGTGGGATGCTGCGTGCTGCCCTCACGCCAACCACGTGCTTCAGAAATGCATCCTGGCCGCTTGGCCTGTGTCAGATGAGAACGGACTGCTTCTTATGAGCCTGGGAGACATCCAGGGTATTGTACTCAGCCCCGTTTGCGAGAACAGGGTAAGGGGAACGCAATAACATCCCCACCTTCTTTTTGTCTTGGAGAACACAACCTGCGCCTCGATCTGGGTCCTAGCGAGCTGATAGAAGAGTAAAGGCGGGGGCTGAGTTTATCCATTACCATTCCAGTGAATGTCCTTCGCGGGTGAAGAAAACCTCACCTATGCAGGTCCCTGGCCTATTTCATCATCCCCGTGTCTCGAAAGGACCACCATAGGAGTTAGCTTTTGCAAGGACCCCCCAACGCCACCCCGTCCAAAGATTCCCCTAGTTTGGAGGCCTCAAATGACGTTTTGCTTTTTGAGGGTTCCTGACTCACGGCAGACTTGCAGGCAAGCACACATATGAGTGTGTCTTTTTCTTTTGCACACCGCTTGGTGGTTGGTTTTAAAAGCAATCAACCATTTTGGGGGGGTATGCCCCCCCCGTTAGAGACTTTACGCATATCGGGTCAGATAGTTGAGGCTCTCCGGCCGGGCAAGCTGCAGTTCATCATCGACGTCTTTGTTCATCAGCGTTTAGTGGTGCAGGCAGCTAGGCACAAGCAGCTTTGGCGGCAGAGGGAGAGAGGTCGGAAAAGACCGAAAACCAAGTGTGGACTCGGGGATGGCACCAATCCAAGCCTTTTGCAATGATAATCTTGTTCTTTTGCGCACCTTCCCTCAGGGAAACAAACCTCACCGGGGCAGCATTTTCATTGACGCGCCAAAGAACCAGTGACCCCGACAGGTTCTTGGCCGGAAATACGTACACCACGCCCGGAGTTGTGATTTCTCTTGAGAAAGCCATAAGGCAGCGGAGCCTCTTCTCCGGAGCAGAGTTTTATTGCCTATGGTCAGCAGGTGACTCCGGGATGCCTTCTCCATTTTGAAGGGCATGAAACCAATGATGATCTATAAGCAAACTGTGGGATTCCCTCAAACTGTCGTACATGTGCCAATGTCCTGCGTCAGCAATTGCTATAACTATGTGAGCCAAAAAAAGGCCTACAAAGTGTGTTTTTGGCATGGGTCGCAGTTCTTTGTATACTTTTCCAGGCCGCAACAGTTTAGGAATCTTCACAATTACCGCTGTTGTATTTCTGTAGCATTTGGTGTTGCAATGATGTTGTGGATAATCATACGTATGTGGCCGGGGCTCGCAAAAACCAACACTCCTTGAGAGGAGATATTTGTATATGTGCATGTCCTTATGTGCGAGGCTGCAAACATTTCGTAAGACAAAACACGCGTTTCCCCATGGGTAGCGTCATCAGACAGCGTCGCGCTCGGCCAATCCTGCAGGTACGGCTGCCGCATCATTCAGCGCTTGATTGAGCGGTGCCCGAGTGAACAGATCGAGGGGCTCCTGCGCCTCGGAAGTTGAATGGACGGTTGCAGGGTTGGTTTGCATGAGACATGGAACAACCCCCATAAAAACCCTCCGGGGTCCCCTGTCGTTTCCTTCAAGGGGAACCCGAGGTTCATTGCCAACAACCGGAACGGTCGTTCCCTGAGAACCAGCAAGCAAAAGGAGAGCCCTCTTGGCTGTCGCCTGGGACCGCAGAATCGGGGGTTCCCTGCGAAAATGAGAAATCTGGGTTGAGAATGGAGTCTCTTTTCGGACCCATGTGAAACATGGGATCTTTTTAAGGTTGGTTGGGAAAACAAAAGGGGAGAACCACCATTTTGAGGGTCCCCCCTATTTTGATCAAAAGCTGCGGGGTTGCTCTCACTGGCATGGCAGCAAACCATTCCATGCGATCCAACCGCGGGCCTGGCGCGGTTGAAGTACCCTCGGGAACAATCCACTGGTTTATCCCAACAGGGGAAGTCGGTTTCTTGGTGAAACCCCATGTTTTCGGAAGTCTGGAAAGGGGCTCCCCCCCAAACAAATGATAGTAATAATAATAATAATAATAATAATAATAATAATAATAATAATAATAATAATAATAATAATAATAATAATAATAATAATAATAATAATAATGATAATGATAATGATAATAATGATAATGATAATGATAATGATAATAATAATAATAATAATAATAATAATAATAATAATAATAATAATAATAATAATAATAATAATAATAATAATAATAATAATAATAATAATAATAATAATGACGGTTTGCCTCTTGGTTTCCCGGGTTCCCCCCCCTCCCCAGAAAAAGGACCCGCCCCCATTTTGTAGACTTTGAGATTTGAGCCCCGTTTTTTTTGGTAGAGGGGAAGTGGAGAACCTTCCCCTAACTTTCAAGCCAATTGTGAGGCAAGCTGATAGGATACATGCTTGCGCTCGTTGGCACTTGCCTCATCGATCTTCTTGCTTTGCTTCACGGGTCGATGGCACACATCTCTCCCTCGCCAGAGATGCGTCATGCACAACATGCCATGGCCTTGTGCTGTCTGGTGACTCCAGTAGTGCCAAGCCCCTGATACAGGAGATCAGACATGCTACATGCTACGAGGTTGCTAGCGTGTTCTTGAAGGAATGGTTTACCTTTCTTTTTGTCAGGATCGGCTGCGGCGCCATCCATCAGGACTTTTCCAGGCTCAAACAGAATGAACCCACCGGCTGTTGTCCCCCAGCTTCCCTCCATATCTATTCTTGGCACGAGGCTTCGTTCGAAAGACCGCAGGCGCTGCTTGATGAAAGAGGCTCCGTTGGTGTCATGCCACGCCTACGGCAACTATGTGCCTCGCCTGGAGCGGAGCAGCGAGTGACCACATGATGTCTAGATGTTTCCTGACCCAAGCTGATTTTGCGCATTTCCTCTGGAACGCCATGCGGTATCCTTTGACGTGACTCTTGCATACCCTGAAAAGAAATGATGAGGTGGCTGGCGTGGAGCAAACGGTAGGAGTTCACCAGTTTGCAACGCATGGCATGTCTCCCTTGCCACCAGCTCCCACTGGAACTCTCAGCCATGAAAGGTGACACATGACCATGGCAATCCTGTTTCAATCATTGGACAGGCCCCTGACCCAATCCAGAGGTTTGGATGTTGCAGTTTGCGCCGTCGGGCACCGAATGCTGCTGTTGGCAGCTGTTTGTGTCTCACGCGTTGTCGTTGCTTTGAGCGACCCCGTCAACTTGTTGTTGAACATACTAGGCAGGAAGTCCTTCTGACCTTTCCGGGGTGCCCGTTTTTTTGTTTTTGTTTTTTTTGTTTCCGTGTCCTTAAAACGTGGCGATCTAAGCAGCCCGGAGCCGAAGTTGCTCTTCTGTCAAGGCCTTGCTTTCAGGATCAACCTGTTTCCTTTGCTTGACACATGGCAAACCGCGCTGCACAACACCAGGGCAGTTTAAGGAAGAGAAGGTTAATACAGCTGTGCATGTGTGCCTACACAATATATACATATGTATGCATATGCATGTATGTAATGTAATGCAATGCAATGTAAATTTAATGTAAATGTAAATGTAAATGTAATGTAATGTATGTATATAAACACACATTTAGCCACATTCTTTGCACATACAGAGACTGATGTGATCCACGGCCTCCGCTCTTTGCCCTTATTTGTGCCATTGGCAGCTGAGTTCCAGTGACACACTAGCCATTCGAACTTATTGCTTATGGAGTTCGAAGACTTCTATAGAATTTGTTCTGTTAGGTTCAATTCATCGAAACCATCGAAACCAGGACATTCTACAGGGCGTTAGCCAACACGAACGATGATTTCCGGTAGAGTTTCCTGGTTTCGCTGGTTTCTTGGATCAATTCTGTGCCAGCCTGGTGCCCGGCTCTGTTCGTGTGAAGCTTGGCATTTCGGCCATGCAAGACAATAGATGAATCGTGCTCAGCCATTTAAGAGTCCTGTGCTGGTTAATTTTGGAAATCAGAAGGCGCCTTTCGGGTTGTGTGCAAACATGTAAGAGCTCTCATATGGTGGTTTCCTTTTGATTTCGCTTTAAATCAAGGTACAAGGGTACCTGCCAAAAATACACCCATAGTGTAAATGATTAGAATTGTGCGGTGCCTTTATAGCGTGGGGTGCAACAAAAAACACCACAATTGCAGAAACGTACAAGCCCACACCACCACGTACATATATATATATATATATATATATGTACAATTATATATATATATATACATACATATTTAGATGTCTGCAGTTCAGTTTGGCAGGAGCCTCCCCCCCCCCCCTCCCCCCCCCCCCAAAACGGCACGGGCTGGAGGTGATGCAGCACGTCCTTCAGCATAGCTCGCTGCAAGGGGAGTTGTGCCAGGCTTTGGAGGACGGAAACGGCGAGAATGACCAAAATCGGTTCCCATTTCAACGGTGGAGGGCTATTTTCTCAGAAAGATGCGTGTTGTTTCTTGGTTCAAAACAGAAGGTCAACATGAATGGACGTGTTTCACAAAGGCAAAATCACTTGTTAAAACCTGCCTGCACTGTAAGGCGAGCGCACAAACTGACATGAGATGTCTCGCTGGCTGAGACCTGCCTCAGAAACACGAACTACAGCACTCTTGAACACGGCAGATCAGTTTGTTTGTGCTTGCCTGCTTGCCTGCTTGCCTGCTTGCCTGCTTGCCTGCTTGCCTGCTTGCCTGCTTGGCTGCTTGCCTGCTTGCTTGCTTGCTTGCTTGCTTGCTTGTCTGGTTGCCTGCTTGCCTGCTTGCCTGCTTGCCTGCTTGCCTGCTTGCCTGCTTGCCTGCTTGCCTGCTTGCCTGCTTGCTCGCTTGCTTGTTTGTTTGTTTGTTTGTTTGTTTGTTTGTTTGTTTGTTTGCTTGCTTGCTTCCTTGTTCGTTTGCGTGCTTGATTGTTTGAGTGTTTACTTGTTTGTTTGCCTGTTTACTTGTTTGTTTGCTTGCTTGCTTGAATGCTTGAGTGCTTGCTTGCTTGCTTGCTAGCTGACTGGCTTGCTCGCTCGCTTGCTTGCTTTCTTGCTTTCTTGCTTTCTTGCTTTCTTGCTTGCTTGCTTCCTTGGTTGGCTGTCTTGCTTGCTGGCTTGCTTGCTTGTTGGCTGTCTTGCTTGTTGGCTTGCTTGCTTGCTTGCTGGCTGGCTGGCTGGCTTGCTTGCTTGCTTGCCTGCCTGCCTGCCTGCTTGCTTGCTTTGCGCTTGCCTGCTTGCTTGCTTTTGTGCTTGCCTGCCTGCTTGCTTTTTGTTCAGTCTGTGTGTGTGTGGGCGTTGTTTTTGTTCTGTAGATTTGTTTTGCATTTTTTGTGTCTTGGTTTGTTTATGTTCTTTTTTGGCTTGTTTGCTTGTCTGTTTGCTTGCTTGTTTGCTTGCTTGCTTGATTGTCTGTTTGTTTGTTGTCGCGTATTTTCCTTGGTATTGTTTTGTTTTGGTCTTTTTTTTGTGTTCTGTCCTGTCCTGTCCTGTCCTGTCTTGTGTTGTCCTGTCATGACCTGGCCTAGCCTGTCCTGGTCTGTCCTGTCCTGTTCTGTTTGTCTGTCTGTCTGTCTGTCTGGCTGCCTGCCTGCCTGTCTGTTGGTCTGTTGGTCTGTTGGTCTGTTGGTCTGTTGGTCTGTTGGTCTGTTGGTCTGTCTGTCTGTCTGTCTGTCTGTCTGTCTGTCTGTCTGTCTGTCTGTCTGTCTGTCTGTCTGTCTGTGTCTGTCTG